TAACTCACTTTCGGCTCACATCTACTCCTTTCTTTTTTTGTCAATGCGTCTGGAAAACTATAAATAACGGAGTCAAATCTGAACAGACTCAAAGTCTAATAATCTGATAAGTAAAAGCATATCTAAAACTATACAGAAAAGAGAAAGGTGATAATGAAAATTTAAAGAAAAATTAAAAGAAAATTAAAGATCGAAGTGCGAACGCGGTTAAAGTGAAGATAACATATGTTTATTCCAATCATTATGATTTTTACCATGCTTTTTTAGGAGGAAAGTCGACTTCTTAGTTTCTCTCTGATGTTTTGATTTTTCACAACATATGAAAATTAAAAAATCGAACTGATTAAAAGAGGACGCCATCGATTGAAAGTGAAGAAGCGTTTGATAAAGCTAAGCGTGTAAACTTCCGTTAACTGGTCGGGTTGAAAGTATTCCAAATGCCATTTGAACAGATAACACTGTTGATTGTCAGAACTGTTATACTTTTTTTCAAACAAGTTACTCTTTTTCCCCCTTTTCAGTGCTTCAAAAGCACAAGTTGAGTTTGAAGGCTTTACGAATTCGTCTTTCGAGAATTTTCTTACATGCGAATGAAACTCATTTGGTGTATTCAGTTAGATTTATGCAAAAGGAAAGGATTTTAAGCAAATTTTTTCAACAGTTTATGTCGGCTAAATGCAAGTGAAAACTACATAGAATATAATAGTTGGTGTATATATCGGTCGCCATCGAAAGTTTACAGGAAATGTAAATTTTTGTTTCTTCTTCCCTTTTCAGTATGTAAGTTAAGAAGGAAAACTCCTATCAAACAACTGATTAATGAAATTACAATTAGTTCAGATTATCGTCAGATCTGTATTTATTAATTTTTGCAATGTTTTCGAGGAGTGCTTAGTTAAAAGTATCTTCATGACGGTCGAAACTACCAATGGGAACTTGTTAAAAAGAACTGGCATGCATGAAGGTTTGGTTTCAGTTTTACTTTTCGATAAACATGCGCTTTATCCATTACATGAAGAGTACTTCCCAAAGAAACTGTCAGCATTATCTTATTGAAGATGACTTAAACGCCACCAGACCCTGAATTAAAACGTGTTAAAATCGTCAATGTACATTCCAGATCCAAGCAATTAGCTCATACTGCACCGAACATCAACACTTTTGTCTGGCACGAAATACCGACATATTTAAATGACTGCTTGTCACAAGATTCTATCTACAAGTTACTTTAATTATTTTCATTTTTCATATTTTGTCAGTTGTCATTCCGATCTATAATCTGCCCGAAGGTCAGAGTGTAGGAGATTCAGGCTTGAAGTGAAACAAAAAAGTTTGTCATTTTGCATCTTCGCCGCATCGTTATGGTGTGATTATACTAAAAACACACGCAGCTGGTTTGAGATGAATACATCAATAGGTGGTTTGCACGTTACGTCATTGCAGCCATGTTGGTGGACGTAAACAATAGATATCTCATTAGCTTCTTTTGTTCGTCCACCAGCATTTGTTCCTTTCACCATTATTACCTGTGTCTCTAGAGATTGGTTGCAAACCACCTGGGACTCTATTACTGCATAGTTGCAAAGCTGGTCACGTGGCAATACTAATTTGGAGACTCTCTCCCTTTGTTTGACTTTTACGTCATGAACTGATTTTCCTTTGTATGCGTGGGCTAAACACTGCTGCAACACAGCATTTCGGATTTGAATGTACTTTGTCACTTACGTCCAATCTAAGGCTTATAGATTTTGAGTAAGATGGTGAATACAAAGATTAATATACAAGGAGTATTATTCATTTTGGTATCAATAAGTGATCAGTGAAAAGGAAAATTTTTATAAAACTGGAGTACTAGTCACGAATTTCCGCGCTTTCGGCACAAGCAACGTAAGAGCGAATGTATCTTCCAAACACAGATCACAATACTACAATTTCATTTGGACGGCCAAAAGCACAATAACCTTAAGTTTAAGAACGAGTTTCAGCGCTTTTCAAGCGTATTTGAAATTTATTGATTGAAAAGTTTCCTTGATCTTTGAGGAGTAGTAAAAGCTCTTAACGCTTATTGGTCTACTTTAGAAAAAGGTCCAGAAATTTGTGTCACGAACCATTTATCATCTCAGTTGGAGAAGGGAAGAATTTTTATGTTTTTTGATAGTCAACCCTAAGAGAGGTTGGTAACACTGGATTTGTCTTTTCCAAAGAATTTGTGTCTCAGTAAAGCCAAAAAACAAAACGGGATTGAAAACCGACTTAACATCATGGGGTTGAAAATCAAATACTTGTGCAGACTGAAGAGAATACCCTCAAAGATAGAGAAGCTAAATATGAGGAAAAAATTAGCCGTAGTAGTAATGCCGAAATTTCTTTTCCTCATCGTAAATTGTAAACTAGTCAGGGTTCCTTTTCCTTCGGTGTGGTAAAAATTAATCGTAACTGCCTTGTCTTGTATTATTATCAAAGCAAGGTAAACAAATTAAATAGTCAAGGACACAAATGCAAGCTTAATGTAAGTTTCTTCTTTTTCAAAAATAAAAATTTCTGCTTACATCGTCTGTATTTTGTTGAAATTGTAGAAAATAAAACACTAAAAACTACCTCTCAAAAAGTGATAATCATTTTCACTATATGAAACTTTAAGGTAAATCAAAACTGCTAAAAAGATCACTGTTATATCTTTCATTTCGAAGATGGCCATACCCAAAATCTTTTGCATGTCAAGTTTCTGTAGTTACATTTATAGTAAATGTAATGTGATGAATGTAAAACAAACGAACAAATAAGAAAAGAAAACAGCAAGAGAAACGAGAATTCCATACTGCAAAGAGAAAAATTACTAAGGAGAAGAAAGAGGGTCAGGTTTCATTCCATTTTTAGTGAAGTGTTATTGATTGATATCCCCAGTATGAAAAAATTAAAATTATGATTATCATAAGTAGGGATATCGAAGGATTATGTGGCTATACTGGCCGAACTCATCGTTTAACATGAGCACAGTGAACTTAACTGTAGTTAGGAAGTAGGTTTTGAATTCTGTGCTCAAGACACCTCGGAAAACTCCATGCTGATTGTTTGCAAAATGGTCGCGGAAACTCGCCTAATGATAAACGAAGCCTTTGTTGTAAGTTTCCTGGTGGCCAGGTGCTTTCCGCACCTTAACGAACAAACCTTATTGTAAGAAGCCTCTCGATTAAAATAACTAAAAACCAGGCTACAATGTCTTTCCGTGTATTTGTTTAAAACCAAAGTTGAAATGGTAAATTGGCCACCGTAATGATTACAAAAGCTGACGTTTCGAGCGTTAGCCCTTCTTCGGATCCGACGAAGGGCTAACGCTCGAAACGTCAGCTTTTGTAATCATTACGGTGGCCAATTTACCATTTCAACTTTGTTGATATATCCAAATTATTTCGTTACTCCCACCGACGCAGCCCCAAACAGTTTCTTTCGAAACTATCAGCCTTTATTCATTTGTTTAAAACCATTGTTCATTTGTTTGGTTATGAATAGCGCTAAAAAGACTTGTTATTCAAATTAGGCATAGTTTGTGACTTACTCACAAATTTTCTTCCGATGATCCCTGTTTCTCAGATGAGTTATAAAGCATACCAAGTTACCAAGTTACTCTGGCCCAAAAGTCACAGATTTGCCTTAGATTGAAACCTCAACTGTTTATGATTTTTTTTTTTTTTATCATTGGAGTTGAAACAAACAGAATGTGTAGACGAGGACTATTGAAAGATCCTCAGCCGCCTAACAAGGTAACCGCAGACTCTGGCGTAACATTTTCCTTTATCTTCACTTTTTGCCCGATCATGTGTTGATGGCAAATTTTTGCCACCAACTTTGCTTTGATAGCATTATTAACGTTAAAGATCGATTCATTTCAAGCGCTTTTAACGTGTTAGTAAACACACTTTTCCCGACATAATTTTTCCTTTAATTATTAACTAAGGGTCGACGAGAAAACTGTAATATAAGAAATCACCAATAGATTAGACAATTCGCTTTTGGCGACGGACCATGCTCCAATTATTATTATCATTTTTTTAAGATATTGTGAGCTGTTAGGGCTCGGAATGAGATACTAAGTGAGATCACGCGTTACATCACCTTCCCCTTATTCTGACTGCTATTTGTTTAGTGTAACTCGCCACTAGTGAAGTTTCTAGTATAGGAGATAAACCCAGTTCTTAGAAAGGTCAGATTTAGGGAATTGAAGTGCTACGCTAGTACAAGTTTACAGTTTGTAACCATTTGCACTCTGTTTATCAAAAGTAACTCACTAGTAAATGTCTTGTGTGGGTTGATGAAAGAAAAGAGGCCCTCCACCGCATCCACTTGTTACTCTTTTTTTTTTCTTTCTACTTTTGTAAATATTTGTGGAAAATGGGAGTGCCTACTTCATTTCCCGGTCAGCAGCAACTGCAGTAAACGTTACTGGTAATGCCGATGGCATAGTGACTTGTTAAGATAGAAAATAGATTTTGTGTATTTCTTTGATGCCGATACCATTATAAATGTTATTCACCAGACGGGAGGTCCGTATTGGGAAAAACTGTGCCCGAGGTCTTGGATACCGCCCGAGATCGGAGGCCTGATTTGGATAATTACGAAAAGTTGCAACGAAGCAAGAGATCTTCTGCAAAGCGACTCGACATGAAACGGTTACCTCCCGCTGAGAGCGGGCCGGATGAGAGAATACTGCCCACTCTCGAAACCAATCAGATCGCAGGATTTGTAGAATACCGCCTGTTCACGAACTAAGAAAAAAAATAGTATTGAGCATCACAATAAGCGAGCGCTTTGATTGTCCATCATCCATCCCATCGTTTTTTAGTTCCTTCCCATTTATCCTATTTTTGTAATGTTTAAATGAGTGAAACTTTGCAATAATCATATCCATGGCATTCGAGAGACAAAAATTAACGAAAAAGATTGGTATCGTTGCAGGTGTTGTAGGGCGATCAGCGATATTACATTCTGAAGACAAGAAAGATTTCAAAAGTGAGAAGCCGTTCACTTCGCTCTAGTGCAAGCAGACAGATTGATAGTTTATGAACGATTAACTATGACCAGACATTGATTTAGTTTCATCTTCAATATAAAGAGACAAGACCGAGTGCTAAGTCTACTGAGCAGACAAAATGACAGTTAATTCAACTCATCCTACACAAAGCCCGACGGAGAGAAATGTGCGCTTGGGTTTTTTCATCGCCACGTTTGTTATTGGACTTGTTGGAAACCTTCTGGTAATCGTTATCATAACCAAGCGAGCCAAGAAAACTGTCAACGATTTTTTCATTATGAATTTAGCCGTGTCCGACCTTATGCTTATCTTCTTTCTACCGCTGCACATCTACGGCATGTTTGACACTATTCGTGTCACAGCATTTTTCTGTCATTTCATTCGCCCTCTCATGACAGCATCGTTCTTCGTCAGTGTCTACACCCTCACCTCAATGGCCATTCATCGGTGTCACGTGATCTTGCATCCTTTCAAACAGGAAATGCGTCACAAGTCCGCTGTTTTATGGATAATAGCACTGTGGATTATGTCATTTGCAAATGTTCTTCCATTGATGATTGTCACCACACCAGACCCACCATTCGAATGTCTTGAAAACTGGCCGAGTTTGAATCACAGGCGGGCATATACAGCTGCTCTCTTTGTACTTCAGTACATCCTTCCACTGGTTATCATCGCAATAGCATATATCAGAATAGGTTTGGATCTTAACCGCTCGTGTTCTCGTAGTTTCAGAACTGCCAGGGCTTCCAAAAGCCTGAAGAACCAGGCAAGACGGCGAGAAAACTTTAAAGTAACTAAAACTCTGGCGATAATCGTCATGATATTTGCAGTGTGTATGCTACCCAGTCAGGTGGGTTGGATGTTGTTGGATTTTGGTGACACAAAACAAAAAGCGATCGCCATTAAGGTGATTTTTAAATTTTCACTTGTTCTCACTGTGTTTCACAGTTGCCTGAATCCTCTTGTTTATGGAAGCATCACTAAACAGTTTCGCCGTGGCTACGTGAAATATCTGTCGTATTTGTGTTACTGTTGTAGAAGTTCCATCTTGAGAGAAATCAAGATATTGCGCATTTCAGAAAGCTCATCCCAAAAAGGCCCTGACGACTTTAAACGTGCGCACAATGGACTTCTAGGAAATGCCGGACTCGAAGCAATATGTTCTCCAAAATCGAAACAAATTAGAGATGAATTATCTTCAAGCTATGAGACATTTGATGTTGTGACCGTACTTTAGAAAGAACTTGATGAATGTCGCATTGTAACATTTAGAGATAAATTAAATTACCTGCGGTATGTTCTGAGATTTGAATAGTAATGACGCAAACTATAAATCCTTAAGTTTGTTGTAAAACTGGACGAAATTTTTCATCTGTACATTACATACTTTAAAGTACAAGAATACATGTGCTCATATACCTAGTATTTGGTTGGCGGACGTTTTATTCAAGACAGATTTTCTGTTCCCTAAGTTTTCCGTGTCCTCTAACAAGTTCAAGGAGGTGCCGGTCAGTAGGACCACTGAATGATCAACATCTTGAAACAAGTGCTGCATGAGCGAAAATTTTTTTTTTGTCTTATCCCGAGCATGAGACAACGGATAATTTTTTCTTTGTCCGTTCGCGACAAGAATAAAAACAAAATCTTTACCGAGCTCAAAATTTACTATCTTTCTTTAACAAACATGTACTGTGTTATATGGCTGAAACAGATACAACTATATCAATCATAGGTTTCCTCAGCACACTTTTTTTTAACACAATTCACCACACAACTATTTACTAACATAATTATTGGAAATCCCCGACAAAGAGACATCTGTATTAGCATAAAGTACTTTCTTCCTATTGATCTATTTTGGGCGTGGCCTCTCAACACAGAGGTCTGAAATCTAAGGAAGATTCGTGTACAAGAATGTGGTCGATCACAAATGAGTACTGTTCATTCTATTCATGGCTGAATTACGTTCAATCATAAAATACGCCAAGGTTTTAAATATACATTTGTTGTACTACGAGACCTGGCAAGTCCACTGTAACTCTTCCTTTCAAGCGATTCATTTCTTGATTAGTCCTGTGGATATCCTGCTCTGACGCCGCAAAACGAATTTGAATTTCACGAGCCTTTTTTAAGTTTTGTAATGCTTCTTCAGTTGAATCAAGGGCTCCAAGAGCACATCCCAATCCATAATAAGCTCTAGCAGTGTCCACATGATTGTCACCTAAATAAACAAAACATAATCAGAGTTAAGAAAACAAAAACAAAAGTAATTTGTTGGCCAATCTCTAGCTGACGATGTAAGTAGTTTTTACCAGAGTTTTAAAACGGATCGTAGTCATTAGAAGAAATGTGAGTTTATTGCCTGGCACGTTGCTTTGAGTTTGAGCCTTGACAAGGTCAGTGAAATAGTTTCAGAAGAGAATGATCTAATTCTTGCAACAACCAACAGACATTTACTACTACTGACTCTATAACAATCTATAACTGTGGACAGGCACAACTTTTAGGCACATTTTTGAGGTGAGTAACTTGAACCTTCTCCGCTGTCTTTTCATATTTGCGCTAGTTACCTTTAATACTCACTCAGTATAAGAATTGCAAATATCTGCTGCAGAACTTTTTACAAAGCATATTTCTCACACCCTGTCGTTAGGAAGGGTGTGTAAAAACTACTTTGAGAGTATTTACCTAGAAGATATTTCCTCATTTCAAGGGACTCTCTCTTGCACGCTACAGCACGCTTAAGATCACCAAGACTCTGATGAGCATCACCAAGGTAATGTAATAAGGAGGCTGTAAAGGGGTGTTGCCCCAGTAGCTCTCTATATCTGACCAAACAGATGTTTGTCCAGATGTTGATTGCAGCTCTTAAGTTTCCACTGACAAACATGGCCACTGCAAGAATAAAGATGAATGACAATCAGTACTCGCCAGGGTATAGAACATATGGATGCATTAGTTACCATTTGGCAAAAGCTGCATGTTAATACAAGTCAACCTCCCTTCGTAGCCACAACTTATAAGCGACCACCTGCGACCAACTCTCCTTTGTGACCATTTTTTCAAAATACCAAACGTTTCCAAGTTGAATCGCTGAAAATGGAAGCTCTCATAAGTGACCAGCTGTCATTAGTGAGCACTTTTTGAGATGCTTGTCTACAACTTTCAATTGTGTTTAACCTCTCTTTGGTGACCAATTCAACAACAATCAGCTTTATCTCTTGTGAGTGGAAACTGAAAATTGTTTCAAAAAATGTTGTTACATAGAGTAACAAACAAGCCAAGTTTGTTTCACATGAATTCCCCCAAACTCTGTATTAAATACTTTGTGAGATACAACCACCTCCCATAAGAGGCCACTTGGACATGACATTTCAGGCAATCACTTACGGTAGGTCTGACTATTTTTCTAAATCATAATACTGTAATATAAAAGTGCAAACAGCACAGCTGTTAATTCTCAATACATACTTGCTAGATCACAAAAGCCACCAGCAAGGAGCATGCGTTCCACTTTACCAGATCCATCAGAGCGTACCCTCCTCTTCCGTATAGCAATTCCTTGTGCTATGAGTGAGATACCTTTACTTTTGTCCCCAGAAATGACAGTGCAAAGACCCAGCTTGCACTTACAGTGACCCACACATTCTGTATCAGAAATCAAAAGTTCACTTTGAAGTTCATGTGCTTGCTGGAGGCTTTCTTTTGCAGATGTGTGGAATGCATCCTTGTAGCCATAGTAACACAGCTGTTTAAATCCAATGGAAACAAGACACTCACTGTGAAGGATGTTGTCATTTAGTTTAACAGCTGCCTTTAAACACTGTGAATACACAGACATGAATTCATCTATGTTTAATACTTTTGCCAAAAAGTTGACAGCATTGGTGGAGACAGACAGTCCATCACGCTCTAACTGATCACCACAATCTTCAACTGATGCCACAAGAGCATGAATGATGTTAGTCTTGCAGTTGTGATATTTTTCTATGGCATTTCTACAGTCTGTACCTATAAATTCTTCACTCAGATCTTGCAGAACTGCGAGATAATGCCTTGAAAACAGTTTAATTGCTGTGCTGTATTCCCTACAGGTTTCTTCCATTGATGACCTGCAAAATGCTTGTACAAGAGGATGCAAGCTATAGTACAGTTGATTGTTCACTTCATCTAGCTGTAAGAGTGAATGTTGCTCAAGAGTGTCAAGCATATACTGGAAATCTAAAAAATCCTCAGTTGGAAACAACACATCTTTTGCTTCCTCTTTGGTAAATAATTTTGGGAATGAAGCCAAAAAACCAAGGGCTTTCTTCATTTCAGGCTGTAGATTGTTATAAAATACTTTAAGATGGGAATTTAACACTTGAATTTTTTGGCTCTTCCCTTTAAGAAAATTGTGAGGACAGTTTTGTAACTTTCTGTGGAGATCACTTGAGTTAACTGTTTTTTTTTTCAAAAATGATGCTGTTATGTTCAGTAGCAGGGGGATACCATGGCAAGCAATGCCAAATTCCTTTGCCCTTTGATTTGAGATGTTAGGTACACAGTTCTTGAGAAAGAGCAATGAGTCCTCATTGGCTAGTGGTCTCAGGGGAAAATGTCTGGTGGCAAAAGGCCAGAGTTCTAATGTTGAGATAGGGGTCCTACTTGTGATAAGTGTGACAAGAGTTTTTGCATGGTCACCAATATTCTTCAAAAGTTTATAAAAGTCTGACTCATCTTTAGCTTGCAAGTCTTCAGCATTATCCAGAATAAGCACTGTTGGCTTTTGCAGGGAAGTTAAATATCTTTTCAGCATTGAGATTGCATCTTGCTGATCAGCACGAGTACCAACTGCTTCCTCTAACAAGAGTTCAGCTGCACATGTAAGAGATGACACTGATCTCAGGCACATGTATATCACATCTTTTTTTCCTTGACTCAGTATCATGTTCCCAACAGCTTTTGCAAGGGCAGTTTTTCCAAATCCTGGAGGTGCAACAACAGTGACAAGACAGGTTGTATCATCCTCATCTGTGGTCAACAACCTTGTGATTTCTTCACAAATATCCATCCTTCCAACAAAATTAGGAACCTTTCTGGGAAGGCCAACAGATCTTGGTCTCCGTTCATTATCCTCACAGGGCTGTTCACCTGCAAATAAAAAAAAAAAATTGTTTGTTATAACTTCAACTAAGTAATTGCATCATTAAGTGAATAGGTATGGGGGACAGAGAGAGATAAATTTTCTTTAAAGTTTGATTCAGGGGTGATTCTGCTGGGACAAATTACAACTTAATCATTCTTGGGGTGAGGAAGGTTAAGAGAATAAGCCCCTTCCCCTTGAGAATCTCCAGATTAAGAAGGGAAATCTACTCCCCATGGAATGTTTGATTAATTGTGACACATAAAAATGCCACTTGGTCAAACCACATCACTTTTATCAGTTACAACTGGTAACAAATACAGTCATCAACACCTGCACCAACAGAACTGCATAATTTGAACATTTCAATGAACCTGCTACACATAGCTTCCCAAGAATATTTAGCGATAACCTTCGAATATTTTATTATCAAAGGCACTTTTTTCCACTGTAAAATATTTGCAAAGTAAGTAACCAGCAATTTCTGGGCTAGATTGCCATCAAAACTGACCCTCTGAAATTTTATTTTAAGAAAATCCCCTCTACGGTGGTGGAGGGGCATGAACATTTTCTGGAACTAGACAGTAGAGACATCAGACCTACTGAACAGTCATACATTCAGTCACACAGCTGACCACTAGCTGCTACACAGGAAGCAAAACATGTGCAAATTTATGGTCACGAAAAGACATGGGATGTTTGGTTTGAGATGCCACCTTCCCTTAGACAGCTGTTTGTCTCCAGTGCATCATAAGGCTGGCTATCTCAATTCACATAAAGGACCATTAGAAACATTCACCAGAAATGCTTGGAAATAAAATAACTCAGTCTGTAATTACAACTTTTCATTCATGATTTATCAGCTGGCCGAATGCCAATCTAAACAGTACGTCTACTCTACTTGTTAGACTGCACAGATATCATCGCGTAAAAGAAAGGTATGTCGAATAAGGTAATCAAATAGTTAAAGATTACTACACTACGTGTAAATTATTTGCGATTGTCATATAAAAAATTTAACTATGAACAGAAATAAATAGATTTTCTTACCCTCTATACGCATCTTAATTGGAAAACGTACACGAATATTTTATGCTCCCGTAGAATCAACATATCTCAATACCTGACATATGGCGATGGATCTCATTGGCCAAGAAACTACGGCCGGAGCCATGAAGAGCAGCCAAAAACGATTCAAAGGCACCAGGACCACATCGAGAAAGCACATCCAACAGGTAAAATGCCTTTCCCTCACTAGTGGTTTCAGCCAGGATCAATTCTTTACTTGCTTCGTCAAGAATTTCGTTGGTAAAAAGTACTTCTGTTATCCTCCTTGCATCAATATTCCGCGAGATATGTAGCCGAAACTTCCTTAACACTTTCCTATGTGATTCCTCCATGTTCTACCTCAACAAAACAAGTTAATGTTGGGGAGAGCAAACGTTTTCAAACGGTTTATAAGACGACCTCTCAGCTCGTGATTTCACAAAAGAGTTACTTCAAGCTTTCTCGGAAATTCCGGAAATGATAGTAAAGCGTTTGCGTAGTGAGGCCACCGGAAACTGTATCCACCAAAAACAATGTTAATCGTTGATGGGAAAGTCCCACCTGTGAAACTTTTCACCATAATATAAGAATCATTTCAAAACAAGCATTTCCCTGGGAAAGTTTCCTCGATATGTTTACAGAGCTGTGTAATTTATATTGTAACTTCCTTTTCGGAGTGTTAACTAGACAAGACAAGACAATACAAGACAGGACAAGATTTATTTGAACTGTAAAATTACCTTAGTTACAAATTAAACGAGAAATAAATTAAAAATACATGCAGTTGCTGGTCACCCAAAATAACTAAATAGCTAAACTAGTTGGGTGACCACCATATATTAATTGAAAATAAATATAAAGTCAGAAAAGAGGCATTTTCACCATTTAACATTTTAAATTCTTATTAAGGAAATAGATTACAGAACAAATAATTCTTAAACACGTATACAATAAAAAAAGTAAATGAAATATATAACTAAATAACAGAAACACCAAAACATAACAGTTAGTAATAAAACTTAAGACAAATTAATGAAATGCATAGATAATTCTCTTTTGAATGAATAGCGCGTTAGAATCTTCCTTTAGAGTGTTTTGATAATACTCTGTGAGCCGCTTGCCGCAACCCGATTCGTTGGCTAATTACAATCTATTAGTGATTTCTCCACTCATCTTCCTTTGAAGATTAACCACACATAATTTCCAAGTGGAAAGATTGCCCGCAGAAGTTATTAGTTTTTTGGAGCAGTGATTTTGTACTGATTAGAAAGTCCCATTAATTAGTGATAGTAACTGTATCGGATTTCCGCTGAGCTTTGCTCCTTCCTGTAACTCAGGGACTCCTTCCTGGAGCACTTGTTGAAAACAAAGTTAAATATCAAAAAGGGAGAACCAGTTTTTTTGCATCCAAAATTTCAATAATAAAAACACGCCTAAATCAGTACACAGGCTACACCACTGTTTGTATGATTACTAAGGCTTGTAAATGTGAAGATTTTATCCTTATTACCTTAAAAGTCCTTAAAAGCTACAGTTTCAAGATAATTACAATGTAGAACATGGTATACCTTACCAAACTCCGGCTGCGACACTCCTCGCCTAAGCAGGGGCCGTGTTTGCTCTCCTGATAAGGCTGACTGGGAATTGACTTAGACTCATGTAGCATGACGGTAAGCAGATGTTTTTCAATTTAAGAGATTGCAGATATAGTCCAACGATCAGAAGCACGAAATGACAGGCAGGCAAAGTAGACGTATAATCGCAGGCGATACGCAGTAAAACAGACTTTCGCCGAGGTAAACACCGTAAGGTCAATGAGAGAGTACCGAGTCAGTGACTCATATCGCAACGAGTTGTGGCAGTTTTACAAAGAAAACACAAAAATATTCCATGTGTCCTGAGGGTTATGGCCGAGTCGAAGCTTATAAAGATATTGTTTTCTCTTTTAACATTCCCAACTTCCAAAGGAAACTTTTGACGTGATAAAAGGCGCTCTTGACATTTTTAAACTTGAGACTGCATAGGACACAATAAAAGCATAAGTGACCAATTAATTGACGTTATTAAGTATCGTAATTGTTAGGACAGCCAATCAGAGGACGGCTCACGGATTCCCCATGACGACTGTTTTAGTTTACAATTTGTGCTTTATCTAATCTCGATCTAGCGTGGATGTTGGCACATAAGACATTACTTTTATCATAGTAACTGCGAACAGTTTTCACCCAGCCATCTTTTAACTGCACTTTGTTTCTAAAAATGCCACAGTGGGTACAGTTGCCTCCGAATTTGCTACCGGAGAAACACACGATGGGAAAGTCAATCTACACTACTGACTATTCAAGCAGGAGACCTGGTTTTCAACTTCACCTTCAAAAGGCTCGCGGATTGCAAAGCAGCAAACATCATCCACCGGTACCAAAGGTTCGGTCTCTTAATACTTGCTTAATTGCCTAGTCAAGCCAAGTCATGTATAAGCTAGTTAACATCTAAACTTATAGGCATATAAATTCACATGGCTGCCTTTCCTCCCGGTTTTAATTTGAAAGTATTACTGTAAAGTCACTACTATGATTTGTTTTGTACCGGTCGGATTTTAAAATGTTTTTCATCAGTTGAAATACTCATGAATGATTATAACACGAATCTATAATCCTTGTTCCTTCAGAAACCCGACAGAAAGACGATGCGAGCGCATCAGACCGGCAATTACCTCGATTTTAAAGAAGATTTTGTGAAAGCTTTGTCCACTGTGAGCACACACAAACCATGGAATTTTCGATTAGACGTTGACGTAACAACACCCGACGACTCCAGATCGGCAGGTACTTTAATTAATTTTCAGCAATGAATAATGCTATGTCTACCATTGTCGCACATTTCATGACGCAAATTCCGATAATAAGTTCCCAATATGTCGTCAGGAAACGCCATTGAAACAGGAAGGTCACAAAGTTTGTTTGCAAGGATTTTTCTTCGCAAGGATTTCTTCCCATAAAAATGGTTATTTATAATTTTGTGTCCCTCTCATCTGTACTTACCTACGAAAGCATTGATTTCTACCGCACATAGTTCCTTTTGAACAATTTTTAGTTTTCCTGTAGAAGGACAATATAGATATTAGCCGAAAGCTTTTAATCCTTCAGACGCACCAACGTGTCAAGTCAGTCAAGGTATCCTATTGTTTATTTGAGTGGTCCAAAATGTTAAGTCAAACGAGAATCTCAAGAGGACATGAAAAACTTTGACGTTAATTTCACTTTTTGGATGTTAATTCTGAGAGACCAAGGAATTTCATCGAAAGAGTTCTGAGAGGAAAAAGTAAACACGTGCAGATTATTTGGAAGTATCTCTTTACTAGGTGTCGCTCAAAGTAAACTAAAGACACTAAAGGACTTCAACAATTGACCCGCACAGCTGACACAGGGATTTTAGTGCACGAGAGGTGTTAGCATATCCAATGAAAAACGAAATAATAAAACGGATGAAGGCAAATTGCACTAGCCACAGTTCTGTCATTACCTTAGGGTTGTGTTTTCTTACTGTTATTTCTTGGATTTTTTCTTTATTTTTCTTGCCTAGCCACACATTCAGAAAAGGCTTTGTTACAGAAATTTATTCAGCCAACATTAGAATTAGTGGAGGAGGCCTGGCGAGGAGAAGTGACCAGCACGAAACGGGATCGAGGTATTTGAACAATAGATAGAAAGTTAGTGTTATCCCGGTGCCGTGTGGGTACCATTCAATGAAATTATTACTTTTTAAATTTCATCGGCAGATCGACACTATACTGTGGCTGGACAGAAAGCTGAACTACACAGTAGATCTGAAAGACGCGAGGTATGACATTAGCAGAATAGGAACTTATTCTGTTAATTAATGAGGATTGCGACAGATTTTCCATCCTATTTGTTTTGAAGTTGCGCTTTTGTCAAAAACGATTTTCATTTCTCAATTCAGTTGTGGAGGTCAAATCAAGCACGCAGTTTTCTGAAGTAAAATATGGGAACTGAGATAATCGGCGGTACAACATGAAGGAGAATCATTAAAATTTGAGCATAGTACATGACAATTTGTAGAAACGCACTGGGGTCCACTGTGGCCTGACTACTCTCTGCTACTTTCAATTAAATTACCTTATGTTTTTTTCCGTTTGGGCGAAGGCGAAGCGGCCTGTTCTGCCTGGCGTTAACAAATGGTTGCGGTCTTCAAATGAATATGGTAATTCAATGTTTTTTTTATCTATTGTCTTCCATGATTCCCGGTCAGCGGTGATCTTCTGTTGTTTTGGGTTAAATTAGAGTTTCTTGGTTTCCTTTCAGAAAAGGCAGTTGTTCACAACTTCATGAACACATTAAACAATGCGTCCTCGAGTTCTGTACATATGAAACAGAGTGTACCTAAAGCCACGGAGAAGAAAACTACGAAACCTCAATTTACAAAGGAGTTATATTTTCAACAACGAGCAAAAAGTGCTCGGTCCCAAAGGGTAACAGAACGCCCCACACTTCCACCACGTCCCAAATCTGTTAGATCAGTAAGGTTAGTGAATTTCTCTAGGAAAAGTGTGTATTGCTTAAGACATAAAGGTTACTGAAGCTGAGAATGACAATTCTTAGTTCGCTGAACTTCAGAGAGTGTTGGAGGGCGGACCTCGGATAGTCGTTAAATCGGTATTGTTAAATTCGTTTTGACCACCATGTATTCTCTCTTAACCCGAAAAGCTGCTCTGAGTACGATACATGATGCATCACCACTGTAAGTCTTTCGGGGTCATGGGTGTCTGCCTGACAAACACAAATGAGAAACAAAATATCGAACAGAAATTGAAAGGATTTGGGAAGAGTGCCAACTCTTACCATTTGTCTTCCTCCACTCATCCCTTACTGTCAGTCCAAATATGGTATTATGTCAATGGATTTGTGCACTGTGCTAAAAAATTATTATATTTTACGGCTTGTTCGTTAGGGATGAAGACAAAGTTGCCGAGATAACCCAAACTCAAGTCGTGGAACAAGCACACCCCCATCACTTCAATCACCCGGAAGGAAAGTGTGAATTTTGTGATTATTTAAGAGTGAAGAGGTTGTTGGAGCACCTAAATAAGTAAGTTGCACGCCTTCTGTTAACAAGTAATGTATTGCAATGTATTGCAGTGAACGCGACGGGAGGCGCGATGATAAGAGATGTTTGCTACTCAATATCTCTGTCAGGTAAAAATGTGTACAGTTTGTGATGGGTCCGTAACTTATCAAATTTGAACATTTGATTTTTATATCAATGTCTCCAGGTACGGATCCTGTGGTATGGGAGAAGCAACCCTTACACACTTACTAAGGCCTCGAGTGGACCCCACATACAACACAAGTTCTGAAGATTACGACTACGTACACGAAAATTCATTTTTCACCAACACTAGCGCACGAGATCGAGGCTACTTCATTATAGCTCCTGACTGGGTTTCAGAAAGGAAGGGTGTAATGTCTACCCATTACCAATGACCAGCGGCCATCTCTACGTTCTGCAAGCTCCCTACGGCTCGAGATGAATTTCCTCTACAGTAATACAAAGGGAAAATTTGATAATGACCGGTTATTCTTCTTCGCAGTTGAACGACTATCTAAAACATACAAAACCGAACAATTTGTCGTGTAAATGGAACGTCCAATTACATCGCAATTTTGTTGTAGTCTATAAATATTTCTTATCGTGTCAAGACAACAAAGAACAGAGATAATTTTTCAGAGTTAATATATTTTGATTTGTACGATCTCAAGACTAAGAATATTGATTTTACTGGTTAAAGTTTGATTTTGAAAACTATTTAAACAGTGGATGTTTTGTTTGATGTAAATATTGACCTATGAAGCCTGCTTGAAATATTTAATAAATTCCGAACATTTAGCAATCAAAGTTTATGTAGCAGGGTTTAAATTAAAGAAAGCGAGTTAATAGCCCACGTCCTTCACTTAACTCCTCCTCAGTAGACTCTATCGCCTTTTCCTTGTTACCATGCTCACCAGCCGTCATTCCACGCTTGTGCTCCATGATTGACAGCTTCTCTATTTTCCCTCCTTGATCGAGTAACCGCTGAAGATTCACCTCGCTTTCTCCTCCGTATCTCTCTCTGTTTCTTCTCTAAACTCTTTTTTACTCTAGTTCTTATTTCTTTGGAGTCGATTGATGACGCAGTCAAAGGTTTTGATTGGTTGCTGGCATCACCATCCGGGCTGTTGCCCATCACGTGACTCTTTAGATCACGGTAAGGCCGATAAAGTTTGTTTTGATTACTCAACTCTTTTAAATCCCAGTCCTCGCTCTGTTCCTGCCCTGGGATTTCTTCGCCCATTCTCGAGTCTTGCTCGTTTGAGAGGTCACGTTCAGGTCCTGGAGTTTCCACTGGGTTATCTAAAGCAGAGCAAAGGGAAATTGAGGGCAACCCAAAAATTGTGAGGAGAAGGCAAATTTGTCGCCTGCTGTTGGACATATCACAATGTGGGTTATTTTAAAGCACCAATTTGAAAGTAACACATACATATGTCCCTCGCTCCACCCCTCCCCTCTAAGCTACTTTCATGTCTGCATAGACTATAAATTCCACCAACCTCCAGAGCTTTGTGTTGCTGTGTCACCATCTTCACTTTCGCTTTGTTCGTCAGATGTAGTTTTATCTCCATAAGCCGCTTCCCTAGCGCTGCCAGCCTCACAAGCTTTGAATTCATCTGTAGCCTGTATTACATAGAAGCTCTGTGTCTCATGATCGTAGTAAATGCGGATCGCCAGGGAGGGGAGGGAGGGGATTGTATCCCTGTTCATTCACTCTGAATATGACGTGAACATCGTTTCCTAACTTCCCTTCCCTTGAACCTGTAAATTTCTTGTACTGTTTATATATACTGTAAGATTTTACGCCAATAACTTACGGAGTAATTTCTTTCAGTCGGTGATATACATACTGGTAGATTTTACGCCGTTAACAAACGGCGTGATTTTCTTCCACTGCTAATATTCCGAAGGAAAGACATTACGCCGTTAACTAACGGCATAATCTCTTTCAGTTGCTGATATATATACGGTAAGATTTCACGCCGTTAGCTAACGGCGTAGTTTCTTTCAGTCGGTAAAATGCACACAGTAGAATTTTACGCCGACAACGGCATTAAATCGTAGAGTATGTACAGACTGGGTTACAAGCGTAAAATCTTCCAGTTCATAGACTGCGATAATCACATAATTCGCCGTTATCACTACACTAGTTGCATATTGAACAAATCAATCAGTTTTCCCATTTAATGCCCAAGGATACAAATAATATTTTACCCAGACAACTTACTCAGTCCAATAAGAATGGTATCTCACACACCTTAAGTATTACATCCAGTTTAAAAGAAACAAAAAGGGTTTAGAATGAGCTAGACATTTATCAGGAAGTTTTTCTTTCCTGTATTGGGTCGAGCTGAGATATACCTCATCAAATGAATCAGACATGTCTCTCGTAAAGCCACTGGCTTCCACTTCAACATCCAAGTTATGGAGTCGTCTGTTAAGAAAAGAGTTAGAATTTACTACAATTGAATACTTACTTTAAATAACAAAGGAATATCCTCCAGAGAAGCTCAGCATTATTGTAAGCGAGCCAATGTTCATTTAATTGTTTGTTCACAAAACATTCTAGCTCAACTTTTTCAACTTACTTTACATCGGCAAATCGAGGATAGAGTTCACTTGAATAAGAAAACCTTCGAAAAAAGAAGTCTCTGATGCACTGTACATCTCGGTCAAAATACCTTGAACAAGAAAATAAAATGAAATTTGTACTCCTTTGTTGTTATACCATGCAATCTTTGATTTGATCACTTGCTTAATTTTTATTATCCTCCGGCTTACATTTTATTTACATAGCACGAAGATTTTATTATTGATCACAACTTGATAAAAGACAGGAAACAAGTAATCCCTGTAACCAAACTGTTGAGTTAACTTTATATGGATGTATATCAATATAATTAACTACTAGTGACATTTAATAATAACAATGATCCAACGTACATTAATTCAAAATAATGAATTAATAAATGACTGCGTAATGCTAAGATTTTGGTGACGTTTATTTCACACTTGCCCTTAACAATCTAACTGTGAAACGGCTTACCACCGTGCATTTGGATGAGATATTGAAACCATCTGAGGAAAATCAATTACGGTCACTTGTTCTCTGTCGTTGATGATTATGTTGAATTCATTAAAATCACAATGGATGAGACCAAAGCTTCCAAGTCGCACAATTAACTCCATCAAGTCGCTGTATAACTCCGATGGATCAGAAACATCATGAACTTGACACCTGAGTAGGGTTCATTCAAACTGGTTTATCATCACAAGATATAAAGTGTAAACTACCCTCCATGACATTCATCACTGCTCTGCTAATGCAACTTTACACTTAATACAGAGATCTTATCCTGGTCAAAGCATCATAATTTATAAATCCCAAAAGGTCAGGAAAATATTCCCACCTGAAAGGGGGAGGCAACAAGTACTTATTTACACCCATTCATAAGTTATTTCACAAGAAGGAATAACCAGAATTACACAAAACACCACTGTACCAGTACAGGAAAGGAATAAACTTGACTCACAGTAAGTTTAAAAGCTAAAACTCACAGTGGGTGTCCATCAACAAGTTCCATAATTACAGCATGACGATTAAAATCAATTGGCCTTGGAACTGGATATCCATTGTCATAAAGAGCCTTATAAAAGAACAAAAGTTAAGATGAACAAATTGGTTCCAGATTTGTTTTAACAATAGGTGAGCAAATTATCTGACACTGAATAACTCAATCCAAATAAAAAGTATTGGTTAGTTCTCTGGCTGTTTTAAGAGAGGAATACACAATCTATCAACACTATTTTAAAAAACAAAACAGATACATTCCCACAACACCTTCATGTATGCATATTCTTTGACTGCAGCTAAACGTGACAGATATAACCACGAGACATTTTTACGATGTTTCAAGTAGTCTCGCTTCTGCTTGAGCTTGCGGAAAGAGGTTCGTCCAAGTCTTTTGAGAAAGTAGAGTAATAAATGAAAATGAAATATCAACTGAAGTTAAATGAAATAAAAAGAGTGTTTAATAAGTCTGTTTTGAAGACTGTATAAATGTTTCATTTTTTTTAAGCAGTAGTTACAAATTATTTTCTTCAGTGTAACCTGACATCATCTGACTATTACTAGATAAGATAAAAAAAAAAAAAACTGGGAGGATGGAGCTGCTGCTGATCTGAGCTATGTGACATAAACAGTTAGCAACAATAGAGAGCCAAAGGTTCTGTATGCAGTAAAAAAAAAAAAAAAAAGAAGAGATATAGATGATAGCTAAAAAAGTTCACGGGTAACAAACTATCATGTTTTTGTCTCCAGTGGTAGTCCTCTCCAAATGGATTATGACATTTCAGCTACATTCATATACTGCTGCTATTTTTCTAGCACTGATGTTTACTGGATATGTGTTGAATTATGGAACACAACTTGTTGCTTTGATTGACTGGTATTCAGCGGCTGTGATCGACCAATCTACAGGATGTGTTCCTTTCAGGGTGACTACTATTCACAGCTTTCCTTTGGATGTGTTTCTTGACTATTGGCATCCAGGCTTCTGGGATTTCTATTCCACTATCCATGCTGATATTTAAGGGTTTAAGTCCTCTTTCACCACTGAGTTAAACAATGCATTTCACCTTCAATAAACTTTACTTTGTTCCCCATTAGGTAGTGTTCAGTGTTGTGGGCTTACTCTGAAACATCACCAGTCTTTGTCTCCAAGAGTAAGATGTCTCCTTTATGCCCCATGATTCTTTGCTGTATCAGACTTATTCAGCCAGTCTCTCCAATACCAGTAATTCAGCATTGAATAAAATGCTTTTTAAAGTTCACATATCCAGTTAACCTAATTGCTTGAAAAAGACTTGCAGAGCATAACCAAATCACACATGATATCCTGATCCACATCAAAAGTGACTACACGTGACAGTCAGAGTCAAACAATTATTAATTACCAACATATATGTAAGTGAACCATTTACTAAAGATGGTTAAATCTGTCATCTCCACACAAACCTGTGTAATTTGAGAGCATGCTGGTTTTCTTCTTCATCAGCAATAATGAAAATATCTACAAATAACAGAAGACTGAATTTATATTAAAAATTCCTACAAAAAAAGGATCTCATATACATAATTATGTACACTACTAGAAGCCTAAACTGCCACAACCTCTGAGTTTTAAAAGAGAAGTCAACTTCCACAATTCAATCCCCTGTACATTCAAGACAGCTTGAAGGAAAAAAATTGCATGGCAAACCTGCAACTGTGATTGACTTTGAGTTTTCTGGCATGGAGTTGTAAAAGTTGCAAAAGTAAGGTAACAGTTGTTTAACAAAGGTAAATGTTCCCTTCCCTAATATGACTACATATGCAGAGTTCCCATTAGTTTTGATAGTTAAGGGTCCTTAGGACCCCCAGTTCCAAAAAGTTAGGGGTTCCTTTTAGCTTTTTAGGGGTTCCCTGCATTTTACTAAAATTTGATTTTATAGTTTCTAACAGAGAGGCAAAAGCCAAGACCATGTGTTAACACTATTAATAGAGCTTTAATTTTGGAATAAGGTGTGCTCATGTTTCTTTACAACAACCATTTGTTTTTCAGTCCAATCATATGTTAACCATTGAAACTCCTCCAACCATTTACGACAAAATTTGCCTTTCTTCACTTGGATATCATCCCCCAGATCTGTATCACTGAGCAGACATGCACTTGACCATGACAAAATGGCAGGTCAAAGGACATGCCATGATGATCTCAAAAATTCTTGGGTAGGGCCTGCCAGACCTAGTCTCCTAACTAGTCAGAACCTTTTTCCTGTGTCCCGAGAATGCACATTGGCAAAAACTGTGCGTCCTTTTCACTTTTAGTGCGTATAAGATGCACACCTGTACGTTAATGGGAACTCTGATATGATCAGCTCTCTAAACTATTTGGACTGTTTGTAAGTGATGAAAACCCCCACTTACTTTGGGTTAGATACCGAAAAGCTGAGATAGCACACTTTTTGTTTACAAAAATTGTTGTGACAAAATTGTTCCATCATTTTGCATTCCATGAAGATAGAACAAAAATTATTTCATAATGGGAGGTGAATTATAATTATCATATGATGGATTTTTCCCACCATTTTGAAAACAAACTCGGTGATCAAATAATAAAACAACTATTGAACTCAGTTATCTCAAAGTATCGTGATTTGTCAGTGTCTCGCAGATCAATTTTTTGCCTCAGCCTTCGGCTTCACCAAATAATTGATCTGCTTGCTAGGACAAATCACAATATTTTGCTCAGCCTCATCCAATAAGTGTTAATTGTCTTGTCTCTGGCAGAAATAAATATTCCCCACATATGTGCATCTGATATTATAAAATACATAGAAGCATACAAGATATAAAAAAAGTGATTAAAATATGCTAAAATGATGAAAACACTGACAGAAGTATTTATAACAACCACAAGATTAAGCCTAGTTTATTGTCTCATCTGTAGCTTTTAAGGTTACAGTAATCTCAATCCTGATTGGCATTTATTGGAGGGAGGCATTTAATCAAGGAAATACAACTATTACAATACTTAGTGAGGAAAAAGTAGTTTATTTGCTTACTCCTTTGTGGCAACTTGAACTTTGAGTAAAATGAAAACAGAAGTATCATTACATACCCGACTCCTTTCCAACACCAATTTGATTCCCAACTGACTGGACGCTCCCTCTAGTTGTTAAAGCCTTCAGAGCAAGGAAGTCATATCCACTGAATGTAAGTCTGTAGCCTTCAACTTTCATGGAAAATAATCAGCACTCACATCAGTAAGTTTAACAGTAATTCTAACACAAGTGAGGCAGCGTGGCCGAGTGGTCAGCATGTCGGACTCACAATCCGTCGTTCCCGGGTTTGAGTCCCGCCCTGACCACTACCTGAATTTGTTTCACGGTGGCTCCGAGTTCAAATCCTCGGCCATGCTTGTAAATAGCCAACTGGTTTGCCTCCCGCCAGTTGGGATTCTTAACAATGTTATGTTCAATTTGAATTATTTGTTTATAGCCCACAATGTAAACTACTGGGTTACCAGTAATTGTGTTAGCTATTTGAATAATTCAGATATTAACAAATGAGAGTCACATTGATTAACCAATTTGTTAACTGCAACTACCTCTCATTTTAACTTTCTGAGTCACTTTTTGTGATATGATATTTGATGATGTTTTCTTTTTTTGTAATTTATGATCTTATTGTATTTATACCCTTAATTAACTTAAATTCTAAATTTGTAGTTTTTAATCCTATTGAGCTGAAAAACCCATTTAGGGAGCATCAATAAAAGTATGTATGTATGTATGTGAAGGAATAATAAATAACAAATTGTGTTTTCGTAACATTTCAATCTTTTTGAAAACAAATTTAGTACCACAAAATTTATTTCGAAATTGATTTTTGCAGAAAAATTAAAGTGATTTGAGAGCGAGAGAGAAGAAAGAATTAACATTATTTTTCTCCAAAAGGTTGTGACCAAAGTCTTCGCTCAAAAATTCTGCCCAGCCAGCAAAATGAGATATATTTGTGAATAATTGCAACAAGGCTGAAGATGTTCTGCAAGGTGACTCAAGTGAAATGGATACCACCCACTGTGAGTGGGCCAGATGGGGAGAATACTGCCCACTCTTGGAACCAATCAAATTGCAAGATTTGTAGAATACTGCCTGCTCACGAACTGAGAAAAAAACAATAATGAATTATCTTGTTGGGAAGACAATTCCCTTTTACTACATGAGGCAATTAATATACTGTACCTATACAGGTATGTTAGGCAGTTTTGATCGTCCATTAAAGCCCTGAAGACCATTTGGAATGAGACTATAACATCTTTTCTTTCACTTGACAGAAATAAACAGTCAAATGTTAAAAAGTGTTCTCTCCAGACTTCCTATCTATTTCATGTAATTTTCATGTGACTTCTATTTGCTCATTTGTTTTAATTCAAATTTTCTGCCAAATACATTTTTATATCAAAGTCTTACCACGGCCAGACTTTTCATAACACACCAACTTATGTTTGGTGAGTTCACGTAGGATTTTGTGGGAGCCTCCATGTTTGAGGTCTGCAATAGAAGCTACAAGAGGGGTCGGTACCAATTCATGGTTCTTCATACCCATTTCAACCTTGAAAAATATACAAAGAGGATGTGTCAGTGCATGCTCACCAACATAACTTCCTTAAACAGACCAACATACAGCAGGACCACTAGTTAAAAAAAGTTTGACAAAGATGTGTCTGCCAATGGCAGACACATCTTTGTCACATCAGTAACCTGAGACATCTACAGCTTTTGGAAGCTGAAATGTACATGTGCACAGATGACATGATAATCTTATTAAGGTGGCTGAACACAGTTTTTGATACCTTTGTTTCTTCCACCATTTTCTCTAAAACCCTTGATCTCTCGGTCGCCAAAACTGGCAGCAAGCAAGTTAACATAAACTTTGTTTTTTCGATAGTTAAGGTGATGTATGTGCCATTTCCATGGCGACATGAATAGATATAAATAGGCAATTAAAATCGGTTTTGTTACTTTGTAGAAAAAACAAACTCGGTGATCAAATAATAAAACAACTATTGAACTCAGTTATCACAAAGTATCGTGATTTGTCAGTGTCTCGCAGATCAATTATTTGCCTCAGCCTTCGGCTTCACCAAATAATTGATCTGCTCGCTAGGACAAATCACAATATTTTGCTCAGCCTCATCCAATAATTGTTAATTGTCTTGTCTCTGGCAGAAATAAATATTCCCCACATATGTGCATCTGATATTATAAAATACATAGAAGCATACAAGATATAAAAAAAGTGATTAAAATATGCTAAAATGATGAAAACACTGACAGAAGTATTTATAACAACCACAAGATTAAGCCTAGTTTATTGTCTCATCTGTAGCTTTTAAGGTTACAGTAATCTCAATCCTGATTGGCATTTATTGGAGGGAGGCATTTAATCAAGGAAATACAACTATTACAATACTTAGTGAGGAAAAAGTAGTTTATTTGCTTACTCCTTTGTGGCAACTTGAACTTTGCGTAAAATGAAAACAGAAGTATCATTACATACCCGACTCCTTTCCAACACCAATTTGATTCCCAACTGACTGGACGCTCCCTCTAGTTGTTAAAGCCTTCAGAGCAAGGAAGTCATATCCACTGAATGTAAGTCTGTAGCCTTCAACTTTCATGGAAAATAATCAGCACTCACATCAGTAAGTTTAACAGTAATTCTAACACAAGTGAGGCAGCGTGGCCGAGTGGTCAGCATGTCGGACTCACAATCCGTCGTTCCCGGGTTTGAGTCCCGCCCTGACCACTACCTGAATTTGTTTCACGGTGGCTCCGAGTTCAAATCCTCG